AGAAGAAGAAGAAGAAGAAGAAGAAGAAGAAGAAGAAGAAGAAGAAGAAGAAGAAGAAGAAGAAGCAGCAGCTAGGAGGAATTAGAATTAGAATTAGGACAGGATAATTATAATAGAGGCAAAACAGTAAAGAGAACAATAATGAGACATGCTAAGAGGACATGTGTGTGTCGATTCATTTCTCCACCCTTAGATATTTTAGGTTTCCCTTACTTGCTACAACATCTTTACTGGGCCTTGAAGGAGTCTGAGGGGTTGGTACCCGAAGGATCCAATTACATATACATACAGACGAACACTCATACACAACATCTTTTTTTAAAAGGTTAAACTAAACCAAAGCATTACCAAACAGACAAACATGGACTCACTAAACTCAAAAGTGGGAAAGGCAGGCCAGGAAGTGTCTGCTCCACAACAGGTCCCAGGCTTTCCAGCACTGCCTAGCCCTGTGACTTTGGGAACACAGCTTGTGACACATCCTACTTGGGAAGAACTAACTTCATACAAGGTGAGGTCTGGCCTTTGCCTTTGACCACTGGGAAGGGGTCTCTAGGCCCAGAATGTCCTCTTTGGGACGCAGGTATTTGTTTCCAGGGGCCATTAACCTTGACTGGCTGCAGTAACTAGAGGTTAAAGCCACTGTTCGGCCATTTAGGAAAAGCCTAGTGCTTTATTGAAGCTCCATGTTTGGACTTTTCCAGACAGAGTCCTGGGAGTCATCCAAGCAGGAAGGTGTGTGTAGGACCTTCCAATGTGTAGCCAGCTAATCCAAAGTACATACACTGAATGAGGTAAGGGCCATTGAACGAGCGTGTGGAGCCATTCCCTCAGGGTGTACAAACTTGTGCCTTCTGTAGCAGTGGTATAGAGTCCTAGGGAGACATGGCAGGCTGCAGGATGCCCTTGCCCTGGGGTTCAAGTAGCTCCGGGCTTCCAGGCTCTGGAGTGTGAGGGGGCATAGGTAGAGACAGCAAAGGCTCCATCCATTCGTAAACTTTGATAGAGAACATTGGGGTGAGGTCACACAGCACCCAGGCTGAGGCAGGCTGAGTGTGCACATGAGTGCCTTTGTCTCCACTGCCGTCATCCTAGGGCCCTGACTCCTTGAAGGCCAGGAGACCCTGACTTTCTCATCCCAATCTGGTGAGGCCTGGCAGGACCCCACCCACGGATGTCAAGGTACTTTATGTAAGGCTCTTCTTGTAGCCCATGGGCCCCTCCTGACCAGGCCTAGAGACGACAGGCAGAGACATGAAGCTCATGGGCTGTCCCAGCATATCCCAGCTCTGCCGTCGGGTCAACACAGGTGCTAGCTGTGGGAATGGCAAAGGATGATGGGACTTTGGATTTCCCCTGATTAAGCTACATTTATATTAACAGAGCAGGACAACAGTGTGTCAGGAAACTTTAAAGAGTTATCAGCAAAGAGACCAAAAGAAAATGACAAGAAAGTGGCTCTGGATAAAATCCCACACAGTGTCAGAATTCATCAAAAATTCCTAGTTCGGATCCTTATGTAACCTGATACATGGCGGCATTTGTGATGGCATCGTCTGTGACGGTTAACATGGTCAGTGTCAGGCCCCAGTGCCTAGACATTTATTCCAACAGTGTCCTAGATGTTTCTCTGACTTTCTTTGAAAAGTAAGATTTACATAAATTTAGTATATGGATACAACAGGTTACCCTTCATCATATGGGCCTCATCCAATCACTTGAAGGTCTTAATAGACCGGCCTGAGCAGGCAGGAATTCTGACTGGTTGCTTTTGGATTCAGACAGCAAGTCTTCCCTGGGAATTCCTGCTGGCCTCCTCCATCAGATTTTCGACTCATTGAGCTTCCTTAAGTGTATGAAACTATTTCCCTGATTGTTTCTCTGTCTGTCTTTCTCTCCTTACACACACACACACACACACACACACACACACACACACACACAATCTATCCATAACCCATTGAAACTATGCAGAAAAACAATTGCATCTGTACATAACAGGTTTTTTTCTTGTCACTATTGTTAGGTAACACAGCATAGCAAACACATATAACGTATTCATTTGTATTAGGGATTGTAAGTTACCTAGAGATAATTTAAAGTATATGGAAAGAGTGTGTAGGTTGTATGCAAACACTCCATCTTTTTGTTTAAGAGGTTGGGACGTCTGTGGATCCTGGAAGGTCCTGGAACCAACCCCTGAAGTTGCTGAGGGTCATCCCTCAGAATATGAGAGCTCCTGGCTCTCAGTTAGTTTCTGTGGGGTCAGGAGCCGAGGCCTGGCCACTCTCATCCACAGATAAAGAAACAGACTCCTGGGGCTGGGGATGAAGCCTGGTTGGTAGAATGCTTGTCTAGCATTCACCATACCCTGGGTTCAATGCACAACAAACACACAGCCCGTTGCTTCTCTTTCTCTGTGGAGCACTGGCTAATGCTTCTACACATTAGGAAAAACAAATCCTGCCATCTTGAATAAAGAGGTCTTAGATTTGTTTTCCTAAGGTTCAGGAACAAGGTTGAGATGGGTACTACCTTCATTTCTTCTTGTTGTTTGGTTTTTATTTTGTTTTGTTTGAGACAGGGTCTCACTGTGTAGACCTGGCTGGCCTGGAACTCACATCTACCTCTGTCTCCCAAGTGATCACTTTCTTTCTTTATGATGACTCCTGGATCTTATTTAGCTTCTGTGGGGCAAGAACCAAGGCCTGACTCAGCTGGTCCTCTGCAATCAAGGAGTTGGAACAGGATGTGCAAGTTGCCTGTGCTTTGAGGAAGACTTTGGGGCTTTAACAGACATTACAGTAGAAAGAAGAGAGGTCTCTGGGAAGACTCCTGACCTGTGGAGGGAGTCAAAAGTTGTTGCAGTCCAATGAGCTACCTGGGGAGAGGCAGGATGCCTGGGAAGTGATCATGTGTAGAGGTGGTCTCAGAGCATAGTGGGTGCTTCTGAGGATAAGCCTAGGAAATGCCCTGCTGAATTGGAAAGGCAATGTTGACACTTGAAGCCCATCTGTGATGTCACAAGGCAAGGGAATAGCAAAGAGGAGAAGACATCACAGGCACAACCCTGGGCAGGGTCTCAGAGACCCTCAGAAAATTATTCTCATCCACAGATGAAGAAGCAGACACCTGGGGCTAGGTATGTAGTCCCATTTGGAAGAATTTTGCCTCACACTCACCATACCCTGGGTTTAACGCCCCCAGAGCTGCATAAACTGGGCTTGGTGCACACCTGTAATTTCAATACTTGGGAGACCCTGGAAGGAGAATCAGAAATTCAAAGTCATCCTTAGATACATAATGAACTTGAGGCTGGCCTGGGCTACTCTGGGTTAAAACCAAACACAAGGCACAAGCAGAAGAACTCCTGAGAGAATGAAGGACCAGGTCATATTTTTAGGACCCGTTGGGTAGTCATTGTTTCAAGCTGTGGACATTACTCTTCTTCTAGGAATAGGCAGTCCTGTTTTTCCAGGAAAGGTCCCGCTATTCTCACTCAGCTCACAAGTTGGGGTCCTGATTAACTCTACTTTAAATCAAGGTGTGGGTTTGTAGAGGGGATCTGGCCAATCAGAGTCATGTTATCTTAGGGTTTCAATTGCTGTGAAGAGACATCAGGACCCCAGCAACTTTTATAAAGGAAAACATCTTATTGAGAGTAGCTTACAGTTCCAGAGGTTTAGTCCACTGTCATCATGGCAGGAAACATGCTGGCATGCAGTCAGGTATGCTGCTGGAGGAGCTCAGAGTTCTACATCTTGAGCCACAGGAAACAGGAAGTGAACTGTCTAACACACTGAGCGTAGCTTGAGCACAGGACCTCAAAGCCCACCCAACAATGCACACTTCCTCCTACAAGACCACCTCTACTCCAACAAAGTCATACCTCTTAATAGTGCCACTCTCTTTGGCAAAGGGCCATTTTCTTTCAAACTACCACATTCTATTCCCTGGCCTCCAAAGGCTTATAGCCTTATTATAATGCAAAATGCATTCAGAACAACTTCAAAAGTCCCCATAGTCTATAGCAATCTCAAACTTACTCAAAAGTTCAAAGTCTCTTCTGAGATTCATTCAATCTCTTAACTGTAATCCCTTATAAAATCAAAATCAAAAATCAGACCACATACTTCCAACACAGAATTGTCATGCCACCTCCTGCGGAGTCTGTGTGATCTCTCACATAGGCAGTGGCACAAACTTCAAGGAAGAGTGCCCACAGAGAAGGTGTGTGTGCTGTGCTTCTTGCATTGGAGCCCTTGCACTCTTGGCATTACCTGCTTATGTTTTAAGGAATACAGTCTGGTGTCTTCTGGAAGGGAAGATAGGATGTTTAAGTTTCCAGAGTCTACTGATGAGACATTGCCATATACAGGAGTATATGATGCTAAAGGAGGAAGATGGGCTAACACTCAAGGGAAAAAGTTTCCAGGTTTAATCTGGTGCTTTGTAAATAAAGAACAAAAGGCAAACTTAATTAAGCAGTTAAGACAGATTCAGCAAAAATGAGATAAGGATAGAAGAGAGAGATAAATGCCTGTAATGTCTTGAGACTGGTTTGGGGGAAGGTTTGAAAAGGAGTTAGAAATATGGAGAAGGAGGAGCAAAGAAGTTCTTCGGCATAGATGGCAGAAATATAAAAAGACTGGAGACTGTGTGACTGTTAACCACAACCGCTTGCCCTTAGCTCAAAATGACATGAACTCATGGCCTAGATAAAGATTTATATCAAGACTAATGCCAAGCCATACCTGGCATGACCAACCGCAGATTCACACCGAGGACATCTGTCTGATGAAAATCTATTCTCATGTATCTGATATAATGATTCTAAGAATAATCTGTATCACATGGGAAAAAATACATGCTGTTAAGCAATCTTTTCTGTATAAAGATGAGCCTCATGCCTAGTAAAGATGCATTCAGATGCAATTCCTTTGAGTCTTGTGTCTGTTTGTCATTCGCAGACTCCTTACCCACCTATTCCTGAGACCCTGGCCTGTCGGTCCCAGTGCCCCGGCTGAGCTGGTCCATCACATAGAATGGCACAGGATATACATTACTGTTCCAAAACATAGGGAAGGGAGCATAGTGAAGACATGCTGGACTAAAGCAAGACCAAAAACCAGGTGGGGAAACTCCAGACTCTGCATTTCCACATCAAAGTGCTCTTGAGATCGCCAACTCCTTTCAGCTTTGTTGACTGAAACACACTTCTTTCTCTTGGGCTGGTTCCACTCCCTGTTAGCAGCTCTCCTCGACAGGTATCCTATGGCTCTGGCATCTCTACCATTTTGGGGTCTCCAAGGCAATCCTGGTTTTAACTTCACAGCTTTAAGAAATGGGGTCTCTAGACATCCATGCAGGAACACCCCTGACACATGTCTTACCCTAGCTGCTTTCCTTAGTCTCAGGGGAAGATTCTATAACCCCTTTCTTCTGTCCTTGACTCTAAAGTCAGAACCACATGGCCAAAGCTGCCAAGCTCTGCTGCTTGCTGGGTCTGGAACATGGCCCTCTCATTCAATCACATCTGCACCAGCTTTCTGTTTTCAATGGTTTCCTTTTATTGTCCTAGCTTGACTGTTTTGGAATTTGTTCTGTAGACCAGACTGGCCTCAAACTCAGAGTCACCAGCCTCTGCCTTCTAAGTGCTGGACTTGAAGATTTGCACCACCACACCCAGCTCTAAACTTTTCTTTAATTCCTTTGCACAAGTTGGAAATTTAACTGGGTGGGATCTTGCCCTCAGGTCATCACTCCCTCTAATCCATTTCTTAGTCTATTTATCTCCTTGAACATAGGATTCAGCTCCATTCCACTTCCTGCTGATCTGTTCTACGTCTTGCCTTTTTTTCATGCTCAGATTGCTCCTTTTCATTATAAATCTTCATTAGAGTTAACATGGATGACCACATGACAGAGTCTATGCTAGGCTGTTTTGAGATTTCCTCTGCTAATGGAATTAATCCAAATATTTTCACTTTAGCCTTAGGTAGACTTTTTGAACAAGGGCAAAAAGCAGCCATATTCTTCAACAAAATATCACAAAAGCAATTCTCAAGGCGACATACTAACTTTCTTCTCTTCTGAAACCCCTCGAGCCAGGACCCTACAGTTCTATTACCAAAGGTCTTTATTGATTGCTCAATGTTAAAAGCCTATTGGCCGCTTTGACTTTCCCATCGTCTCAGAATATTGAGTCCATCACCTTCATTGCCATAAAGTTCTTTTCTTGCATTTTAAACTATAACTTCTTTTTTCTACCCACAGAGCAGTCTAGTTGGGAGTGATTGAGTTCAGTGGTTCCCTGAACATCACTTACAGGAGGGAAAAAGGGGGGAAGGGAAGAGGGAGGAATAGAGGATCATGTCCGAGTCTCAGAGTCCACTCTATAAGCACAGTCAATGTAACGTATACACTCAGGTCATCTCTGTCTTCCCACTGTCCTTGCCACACACCTGTAGTAACCTGTACAGGAATGTGGTAAGACTAACATCGACATTAGCAAAAAGGTAGTACAAATTCAAATGTCCATTAACCAAGGATTGGAGGGGCTGGAGGTGGCTCAGTGGTTAGGGGCACCCGATGCCTTTGTAAAGAACCTGAGTTCAGCTTCCATCACCCACCTAGTGGCTCACAACTGTCTGTAGCTTCAGTTCCAGGGTATCTGGTGTCCTCTTCTGGTCTTCTTGGACCCCTACATACATGCAGTGTCCATTAAATCATGCAGGCAAACACACAAACATACGTACATATAAAAATATACACCTTTAAAAAATAGAGGAATAGATAGATAATTGCCATGAGGGCAAAGAAAAATAATAAAGTATAACTTCATACACTGACACAGATGAATCTCAAAAACAATGTTGAGTGAAAAAGTAAACAAGTCCTATATAGTTTCATTTAGGTTAACTAACCAAATACCCCAATGTTGTGCAATATTTCAATATTCCTTTACACTGTGTGAAGATGTGTCACTGTGATTGGTTAATAAAGTTCTGAATGGCCGTTAGTTAGGCAGGAAGAGGTTAGGCTGGACTTCTGGTGACAGGGGAAAGGGAAGAGGAAAGTGTTAAGAAGACCCTCTCCACCCGCGTGAAGAACTCCAATAAAACCAAATTAGACCGAATCAAAAATGCCCACGTTTAATAAACGCCATACTCCGAGGAGGACCAAGACAGCATGGCCGGGAGAGGAGCCCATGCAAACCCTGGAAATCACGCGTGCCTTTTTCTGGCCTAAATAGCCTGTGGGAGTCGCCCTGACCCTTCCCAGGGAGGGGTCAGCGCTTGGCAGGCTGGGAGGTGGAGTCCCAAGGCAACTCCCAGGCCAGGGGCTGGGATGACGCTTCCAACCATCCCAGACTTCTTGGATATAGGAGTGTCAGAGGGCTGGGGTCTCACTTTCAATCAAACAGAAAGGAGTCACCAGCCAGACACAAAGCAGGCAAGACATGCAGGAGGAGAGGTAAAAGCCACAAATCACCTGGCAACATATAGATGAATAGAAATGGGTTAATTTAAGTTATAAGAGCTGGTGGGACAAGCCTAAGTCATAGGTCAAGCTTTCATAATAAATAGTGCCCATGCTGTTTTTGTTGTGAGCTGGTGGCACAAAGAAAAGTCTGTCTACACCCCAGACTCAGCAAAGACTACTGGGAGATATATATATATATATATATATATATATATATATATATATATATATATATATATGCAGTAAACACATGGAAAAGCGAAGTGAGCCAGTAAGATGGCTCAGTGGGTAAAGGTGTTTGCCACCAAACCAGACCTTTGATCCACAGAACCCACAGTGGAAGGAGAGAACTGACTCCCAAAAGTTATCTTCTGACCTCCACACACGTGTCACATACACATTCACACTCACGCACACACACACACATGCACACAAAAGAGATAAATGTAAAAGATTTTTAAGTGAAGAAATGTCCCACAGAAGCTCCAGAGATGTGATTCCGAGAGAGAGAAGGTCCTAGGTAGAGAGGCACAGAGGAGCTCCAGAAGCGTGGGCAATGTTTTACCTCCAGCTAAGCCAGATGGGGGTTGGGAGGACAGAACGGTCCCTTGGGAAACGACCTGGCAGATCTCTGCATCAGCGGCAAAGTGGAAAGCG